TTAGCATTTACTTTTGGCCACTTATTTATATTCTAGAAATAGATATGTCTAAGTTACTGTAACTGGAATTATATAGCTATGACCAAAACTGGTTTTAAGATAACTTCTAAAATTTAATTTTTTAAAATATTTTTTTTGTTTTGTTTTATAGTATGTTTCTGATATTTCTTAATCTCTACAACTGTACAGTAGTACAAAACTGTCTAAAACAAACACTACTGCTGTGCATGACCATGAAACACTAGAGAACAGGGAAAGGAAGTAATTTAATTTATAATTTCTATTCTATTAATGGTGGATTTCTGTCAAGTTACTTAGTGAGCTGGAACTGTTTGGAGGCTCTAGGCATAGACCAGATAGTATAGAAGTGACATTTTTTTTTAAATCAGGCTTTTTGTTTGGATACATTTCTTTCCTCCTCTGAATTCAGTGTAGGTATATTTGCAGTTGGATATTGAAAAATCAGTGATGAACCTGTTAGCAAATATATTTGGTTTAGCTAGAAGCAGGTACACTATGAAGTATCGACTTCAATTAACATCACATAGACACAAATTCACACTGAGGATGTGTATCTCAAAATTGACAAGTAAGTTCATGGTCATATATTTCCTTTGACTTCTTCCGTGTTCTTTTTTAATATAATTTTCCATCTATTTGTGAGAAACAAGCCCATGTATATTAAAAAAAAAGTTTTTTCTGGGGATAAAGTCAGTGGAACAAAGAATACAGCGCTGGGCGCAATGGCGCAACCTGCCCTAGCAGGGGCCTCTTTTTATAGTTCCAGTCCTCCTTTTTGTACCTGCTCAGTTCCTCCTTCTTGGTTTCTTCAGGGCTGTCTCTCCCTGCACTTTTCCCTTCACTACTTATCACAAAACAAATTGCTGCTGAGCAGGGGGTGGGGAGGAGGCAACCGCAATGTTACATGTAACCTTCAATTTAAACATGAAATCAAACAAAGAACAGTGCACACAACCAAGCCAAGCAGCATGTCCACTCGCTTTCCTCCCCTCCCTGCTTCTCTGGCATTTACAGTTGGTCTCAGTGGTCCTCTGGGGGGAACTTGGTGGGGGGTCGAAGTCCAGGTTCCTCTTCATCAGGAGTTCTTTGCTTAATCCTTTTTCTGGGGGCTTCCATTCCTCTTTACATGATACCCAACCACAGACACACTCCCCCCTTCCATCCCCTGCTTGCCCAACTCCCCGCAATGCCCAACCCTATGCCTAACTTGTGATCAAAAAAAGCTTGCTTAACTTACAATTCTATCAACACTATACTAGCAACACTAATTTAATAACAGCTTTAGCCTAACTCAGTAAAAGTAATTAATTACTATTAGTGAAAGCAAAATTCTACTGTTACTTCTCACATACTGTTGTATATTATACCATCTGAAGTCTTTCTACTTCACAATTGATTAGTGGAGTTTGCTGTGCCTTCATAATGTAACTCCTAATTTTAAAAAGCTAAAATTGGTGAAATTATAAAAACAATAACATTTAAATTAAAAGCATGCATGATTACCCTGTCTTAAAACTGTAGTGCGTAAATTCAATTTCTTTCCCACTTAGGAGAGCTCTATATAGAACTATTTCAAATTACTTGAGACACCACCTCACTTCATAGGATGCAGCTTCCAGTGTGAGGCTTTAGAGGAGAAGTAAAATTATCATTTGTAACAGAAGCATGCTTTACACAGAATATGAAAGTATCAAAATACAGTACAGAATTGCAAAGATATTTGAATGACTGAGTCCCCAACACTATCAGAATAGCATATCAGCTTTTTTGTTGCATAGTTCTAATGTTCTGTAGACTCCTTAAAAATATTTCATTAAAAAATTCTTCAGAAGTTCAGAAGCCAAGACACCTGAAAACAGCCATTTAAATTCACTTACTAAAGCTTGGAGATAGAGAGGCTACCTACAATTTTTGAAAGCTGAGATATCTTTAGGTGATTTTGAGATAGTTATTAAACAGACACACTACTACATCTGAATTAAAAGTCAGTGTCAGAGCATGAGTATGCGGTAATAGTTGTTAATTGTCTATGAGTGTGTTCCTCTTGTTTGTTGCTCTGTAAACATAATCTCATGAGTCATCTCCACTAAACAGAAGTGTTGATCTGAAACTTTCAACTGTAGAAAATTAATGTCCACTCTGTTTTTTAGCCTCATTGGCCTTTGTTTTCAATTCTCTTGAATGTCATGGATTTCGTATTTTGGTATTAGTAGCTGTGAAGAGGATTTATATTTATATAATTTAATTTTTTGGTAATGCTTCAATTAATTGTGGGGTTTGTTTTTGTTTGTTTTGTTTTTCAATTTGGATTGAGTTTACTTGTCTGGTACTATTTGTCACCTTTTAATCTGCTATGCTAAGTAACGTTAAATAAATCTGACAGTCCTCCAAATACAAAATAAATGTGTAACAGAACTGAAGCTTTACTATTTATTTTAAGGTGTTCAGAGGTGTTTCTTAATATAGTAGCTGAGAATTTAATGTAAATTAGTGCAATTCTCTTAATGCTTTTGAGGTAAGAAATTAATCACATCTTCCAAATGGAAGACAGAAAAACAGAGATATAAACACAAGTAATATAGCACAAATATTTATTTTTAGTATAGTACTCACATTCTGTAAAACGTATTAGTATTATATTATACCTGGCTTTCACATGAGAAAATCTAAGTATTTGTGCAAATCAGGCATTCTTGAATGGCAGTTCAGTGTTGGGTTTTTTTCTCTACCAAGTCACTTTATTTCTTTTCACTACTACCAATACTTAGCTAACATGTCAGAAAAAAATCCAGATAACATCAAGGTCAGTCCACAGCATTATGCACAGATGTCACTGATGCATTGCTCGTGTCACAGCATTTAGAACCTTTGGTTGCTCTGCTGATATTCCCAGTTATGTATTAAGGCAAGGACATGGTTCTAATGGCCATATGCTATTTATAGACAGTGCTGATTTACCAAGCTGAGGCTTGCCTAATCTTCCCTCAGCCTTTCTTACAAGTTTTCCTAAATGTTGTAGTTTTACCTTTCTACTATTTTCCATACTTCCTTAAATTAAGTAGAAGGCAATCACTGTGATGATATTAGGTACTGATATCCATTTCAGGGTACTTAATTCTTTACCTTCTTCTGTGTTTTGTTTTTTTTTTTTTTTTTTGTTTTTTTATTTTTAAAGTCAAACTGGCAAAACTCAGATCAATGTTGTACATATATCTGCAAAGATAAGTAAACTTTGGAAGGCTACAGTGAAATCAGTGGGATTCTGCAGGAGCTCATGGACATGTTTTTGGATCCTAATACGAGGTTGAATTCTGAAAGTAAGCAGGTGTACAAATCAGTTAAGGCAGTGCAAGATGCAAAGTGTTTTCTTGCAAATATGTGAAGTTTGAAAGCACTCAAAATAGTAAATTGTTACGATGAACAAGAAGATGATTAAATTTAGAGAAGGTTGGGAAAACTCAAACAGAGAATAGAGAAGTATCTACTGGAAGCAGTTTGAAAAATGCAATGAGTGTCTCTTGCAGGCAATCTTAAAATTATTCTGAATTTACTGGGATATTTCAGTGCAAGAGGGCCTTCTGAAGTGAGCTTGGTGGCCTGGTATGTTTGCAAAAATGCAGGAGGGTTGATATAAAAGTGAAACAAAATTCTGCTCAGCTTGTCTTCAAAGACAACCCCGTAAGAGCTGTTCCTGACTGGTAGAAAGCCATCAAGGAAGGGAGATATTTGCAAAGTTTTGTGTACTCTATGTGAAGCTAGTTTGGAGAAGAGTATAGAAAATTTCTTATCATGAGTCTTTCACTTACTGATACCAGCTGGATAGCACGCCCTGGACTCCTACAAAAGAAACAGCAAATGTTGGGGGTATCTGTGTTCTCCTCAGTGCTAACTTGGAGAACTCCACAAAAACTGACTTTGGGCACTGAAGTCTATGATGAGTCTCTGAAACTGAAACGATGTCACAAGGGAGTATTTGTTCACTTAATGCACTTAAAAACAGACTTGTTTGTCACTGAACTGTCAGGGAGCGAATGGCACATCTTAGCAGTTACTTCTTCCTCTGATTTCTATTTCTAGTTTAGAAAGTAGACAAAAACTGCTTAAGTGAGCTGAAAGTGCATAACTTTAGCTCAGTGGTCATAGCAAAACAGGCAATGCATGACAGTTAGACTTCTGTGATGAACTTCTGCCTGTTTTTGCAACAAATGTTGATGCATTTTACTATTTTCTTGCTTTTATAGGTAGTTGCATGTTTTCCAGTGAGAAGACCTTTTGTTTTCTGTAAGATGCTGTTATCTCAAGTGTTAATGGGTTTCTACCTGTTAAGATGTAACCATATACCTTAAGTATTTAACTATAAATTTGAAAATTCTTCATGAACAATCTCAAATGAATACTTGGAATGCATTCGTAGTAGATTGTCTCATTTTCTTGTAATTTACTAGAAGTGCTGATGTAAGAGCAGGTGTAATGTGGAAAGTATATTAATCCATGGAAATACATTTTATATATGAAATTATTAGTTCAAGACATATGAGGTTATTTAGGCTTACTCTTGTTGCTTAGAATCCGGGTAGAAAAATGATCACACTCTTTTGAGGTAATGCATTTTAAATGAATACAGCAACCTTAAAAACAAACAGTGCAGTAATAAATTAAATTAGATGTTGCATAACCATTTATCTTTTCTAAGGGATTATTGTGGGTGAAGGGGGCCAACAGGAGGCCTATGGTGAAGTTTGCTTCTTTCAGTTTATAAAAGCTGTCTAGAAATATTTTCACTTGAGATCATCTCTGAAAAATAAAGCCAGTGATTCTTGACAGCAAATCCTGAAGCAACTAGCTTGATGTCATGTTATGGAGACACAATCACCCTTTGGCTGTACTATTTTTAATAAAGGCAACTGGACTTTAAATAACTTTTAGATTTCAGAAGCTGTTGTGAAATAATTACCTGATTTTTTTTTTTTTTTTCCTAGACTGTGAGAAGTGGAGGAACTGCAATTAATTTCAATACTGTAGTATTAATAAAAATTATTTTTGGCACTGGGTGGCTGAACATCTTTGCTCTTTATGGAGACCTCATATGTAAGAAACGTCTAACCCTTTGTAAGACTGCTGCCCAGTAGACTGCAACATGGAGACACAGCTAGACCCAATGAAGGATGACTTGCCCTTAATGGCCAACACTAGCTACATGCTTGTAAAGCACTACGTATTGGACTTGGATGTGGATTTTAAAAGTAAAGTTATTGAAGGCATCATAGTTTTATTCTTTGAGACTGGGAGCCGGTACAGGAAAATGAGCAGCAGTGGCAAAGAGGGCTGCAAGTCACAGTCTGATGAAGCCTGTAAAATAAGGACATCTGAACCTTGCCACATTCCTGTGACAAATGTGAGTGCCTGTTCATCTAAAGTGGAATTTAATGATTTTGCTGTCTGTGGTAAAGGTGAAGAAGATACTTCTGACAAAAATGGTAACCATAGCAATAAGGAACAGGCTTCTGGGATTTCTAGTTCAAAGGACTGCTGTGACACAGAGAATCATGGGAACACAGATTTTCTGCTGGTATTGGACTGCTGTGATTTATCCGTGCTAAAGGTTGAGGAGGTAGATGTTGCTGCTGTGTCAGGCATTGAAAAATTCATAAGATCTGCCAAACCAGCTGATGTTTCAAAGGAGCTGGAAAATCTTAGGAATCAGATTGTACATGAACTTGTAACTTTACCTGCAGATTGCTGGAAGGAACAGCTACACTATTTTACTTGCTGCAGTCGGGCGCCGGGCTGTGGAGAACTTCTGTTTACTACCGGCACTTGGAGCTTGGAGATAAGGAAATCAGGAATTCAGACACCAACAGATTTTCCTCATGCAATAAGAATATGGTACAAAACCAAACCGGAGGGAAGATCTGTTACGTGGACTACAGACCAGAGTGGCAGGTATGTAACTATTAGCTGAAAGCTTTGCACACACTAATTTCAAACATAGGTGCAAGAATGTAGAATCGTGTAATGCTGAGCAACTGTGAAGATGTTGAGCATTCTCTTCCATTGTTTTAGGAAAACAAACTGTGCTTAAGAAACCCCAATGGACTTGCAGACCTCAAGCCTGTCTAAGTGGTTGTGTTTGCTCACTCTGAATGGGAGTAAATAATGAGAATTAAAAAGAAGTAGAACAAGTATGTGCAGGGAATAGGGAATTATCACTTAGGGGAAGAGAAGATATGGATGACAGGTTATTTTAATTTTAATACTTTGTGTTCTTTTTGCTTCCTGGCTTACATAACTGATCATACAGTATAAAGATCAGTATACATAATATTTAATAGAATTGCTTTACAACTGGTCTTTTATCAATACTGTAATAAGTTTAGAGTTGCAGTCATTTCCTGTTTTCTCTCTCATAATCAACTTTTAAAATCTTCATCTATTATGTAAAGTACATTGATGATAGCAGATGAACTGCAAACTGAAACTTTGAGAAAAATTGGCTTTTTATTTAGTATTTGTGAAACTACACAGTGCTGTACAGAAATCTTCAAGATAAGCTCTTTATAGGAAGGAAACAACAATCCACTCTTGACTTCTATAACTGTAATTGTTTTACTGTAACGTTCAAAGCTGGATTTAATGGTTGTTAGTTCTTTACGATACCTAAAAACCAGGAACTACATTGGAACATGAGGAAGATATTTGGTCTGATTGCATACTTGCTTTTCACTCCCAAACTAGAAGTATATGATTACCTTTCATTCATTTCAGTTATGCAAATAGAAATTAAGAGTCTTCTCACTGGCATCCACAGTAGGGAGGAAAATGAGGCCTTTTAAGTGTACATCTGGTAGTTAGATCATTCTACTGCTAAACAATGAGCAGCATCAAGCCTAGGAATATCTCAGTCACGTTCATTACCTTTTCTCCTTCCCCGTCCCTTTCTCACTCCCCAAGGAGCTATTTTTGATATGAGTTTAGGAAATTCAACTCAATATGCTGTCTTTAATTATGAAAGTTTTGAATTTTGACTGCATACAAATGTAGGGCAATTGACTGTGATCATACAACATGTTCGTGTCTACCTGCCTGTTATGAAAGTCTTTGAGACTCATGTTAGCAACACCCAGCTGGTACAGGACTCTTTTGTGTGTTGTCTTTATGTTTTGAGAATTTGAAGGTTTCTTTTAAGCATCTAAATCACTAATGTCTTTTTGTTTCGTTCTTTTTCACTTTCACTGCAAAGCATTATTTTTGCTGTAGAGACATTTCATGGCAGTTGTACGCAAACACATGGAATTTTATGAATGAATAATGAAGGAGAGGATGGCTTGATATGGGTCAGTCAGTCTGATGATAGCAAATAGTCTTAAGATGTTTTATTTTCAGTCTTTTGTAGGGTATTTCAGAAACTAATGCCTGTCAAAAAGTAAGTTTTCATATCACAGTTGTCAGAATCTTCGTTGCTACATTTTAAAAGTCTGTATACATTTTTTCTGCTACATTTTAAATTCTCTATGTGGTGAACCCATAAATATAGCACTAAAGCTCATTGTACAAAATGCTGTCATATTTTTCCGTCCCTTTCTAAAGATAAAGCCCATTTATAATGTATGGGGGAAGTACTAGCACATTATGTATTCATAGGGGAATTCTTTAAATTGTTACAAATTATGCATATGGTGCTTTTTTAGGCAGGTGTCAAATCCTTTCCCAAAGGAGTCTATACTCTATGGTTCTAGCTCCAAAGAAAAGTTGAAGCAAATAACAAAGTACAAGCATTGTGTGGCTACTTCCAATATGTTTCCTTTAATTTAACACTAGTACAATGTTTTGAAATTTAACCTATATACTATTTTATAAAGACTTCCATTTTGCTTGTTTTAAACAATGATGTATTATAATACCAAAGAAAAAAAAAATGTTTAAAACAAAGCTTCATGGATTGAGTTTAGGCAAGTTGAGATATATGTATGTAAACCTGATGTTAGTACAGCAGGGCACACGTCTGTTTTCAGGAGAGGAACTGAACATGTGGAATTTCAGCATATCCTTGTTTTGGTTTTTGAAGATGCATTAATGATCAAGAAGAAAGGTTTTCTTTAGCTTTAGAACCTGTTTTTTGTAATAATACTCTCTTTGGGGCCTTTGTACAGAAATACTGAATAGGGAGCAAAACAGAGGAATAGAGTATGTGTGTGAGAATATATGGGTATGCACATATATATACATATATGTGTAAATATACACACGTTTTTGTCTCTCCAAAAGTTACACTTACAAGGACTATAACAGTTCTTAAAATTGGCAGGTAACTTTTAACAGTGATCAATAACATAATTATTAAAGTAGAAAAAAAAAGGTATTGCTTATAAAGTTTGTAATATATTTATCATGAACAAAGAACAGTTCTGTTTCAAAGTTTTTCAGTTGTTTACTAGCACAATACCACACTGGGGTTTCAAACTAAGGAGGTAATATTGCAATTTTAACAAAATCATACATTTGTTTGAAGTATTCATACTAATATTAAGTATTATAAAATTATTTAAAATAATAATTTATTTTAGACATCATAATAACCACTTTGTGGAGGGAATAATGTGTATAAAATATCTTTCATTACTAGGAAGGAGAAACTTTTTGTCACCCCATCAAAGTGTTTAAGCAATTTTCCCTAATGCTTAGGAGTATATACAGTGTTGAGTCATCATGGCAACCAGTGTATTTCAAATTAAATGCTTTCTCATGGTCATTGTTAAGGATCCATATTCATTAAAATATCCTGGGATTCCATCTCTTTACTGTTTAAGAAAAGCATTAAACAGATTTGAGTTAAAATTAAAGAGGTAATTTTCTTAGCAGCCAACCCTGCAAATTCACCTCTCAGGAAGATTCCTCCCACCTTTTTTCTGCCCTACTTATTGCCAGTTCTAGTGTGCTCATAAATTAGTTAGTGGCTTTGTTGGTATTAATGAGAGACTAGAATGGAATTAATTTCCTCATTGTGGGATTAGGAATGGAAGAGTATTTTTGATATGAATGACATCAGTGAAAGACATTTCATGGCACTGAAACCTTTCAGTACTGGATCCTAATCCTGAAACAATCTGTACATTATTTACCTTGGCATACATGAGTAGGTACATGAATTGGTCAAGTGCACACACTTATTTTTTTCAGGTTGAGCCCTAGATATTAGATATACAGAAAAGGGAAATTTTGGGAAGTGAAGGGGATTGGTTGGATTACTACAAGTGTGTTATTTTCATGAGAATGCTATGGATAAAGTGTATTTTTAGAAGCTATTAAAGGATGGTTGAACAATTTTGAGGAAACACTCTAGAAAGAGTTACCCTTCTTCTAATTTTCCAAAGTGGAAAATATTGGAAAACATGAAATGATCTCCTTAAAAAAATGATACCTTGATATTTATTTGACCAATTTAAATGCCTGACCTTTAAAAATATTTTATACCTGTCCAGTTGATTATCTTTATGATATCTTACTATTAGATTAAAATATTAATGTAGTTTTAAAGAATTCAGGAAATATTTTTGCTTTTATGAAAGCTATGAAGGTGATACAGCAAGCATAAATGTACAGTTTGGTTGAAGTACTAATACTAGCATATGTTCTATAATTAAAGGCTTATTTTCAAATGCAGTGTTCAAATGCATCACAGATATCACCAAACTGTATGGTTCCTTATTTGTTATAAATAATCTTGCATTTCTGTAATGTGCAGCTCAAGCACTTGAGGTGGATAGTGATTAGGAAATCTCCTGTTTTTTCTGCCAGTAGTTAGTTATTTTCAGTCTGTACTACCATTTAAACAGGAGCTATGTCTATGAAATTAAATTTTGTTTAAACGCGGTTGGGTGGAACTTCCTAAGGTGTCACAGAAGTGGTATTAAAAGATGTACAGGGAATGGAATGCTTAAGGAATTGGTCAGATATGTGACTTCAAATTCAGGAAGCTTTCTCATAACAAACTTGAAGAATCTTTTAAGTGTATTGCAGTTGCCAAAAATACCGGTCAAAGCGAGTGAAAAAATCCTCACTGTTAGAGGAAAAGTGGGAGCACAGATGTATTTACATTGATTTACTTTGGTTGAAAGAGTTATGCCCTGTCTTAACCTTATTATCCTTACTTCTCAGTGATGGCTGTACCAAAAGATAAAACTTTAGAACAGGAGACTGTGCGTGTACTACGTCTGGAAGAAGCAGGATTGATATACCTGCTTTGGACCACAAATCAGTGGGCAAAAGTCCAAAAAATTTACAGTGAAGTATCAGTTTAGAAATGTAGCTATCTAGCTGCTGGAAAACCCACATAAGAGTAACAGAGATTACTGGAAATGTTGGTGGAATCACTCATCTCATAATCTTATTTAGTACTTTAAATTGGAGAAGGGTTTGGAAAAGGCATGGGTAGTTATTGACTGGTGTTTTATTCAACAGAAAAATGAAAACAAGAATACCTGCTCTGTTGGAATCTGATGACAATCATTGGCGTGCAAATAAGACAGAACAAAAAATTTGGTATGATTTAGGTACCTGGAAATCCTGCTGCTTCATGGAAATTATACTAATTTAGTGTAAGAAACAGCTGCGAACAGCAGTGGCTTTACAGGGAGTGGCTTTGTAGTTGCAGGAGGTTGCCACCTTATATCTTTACATGGAGACAGCCCTTGAAGAAACAGTGAATGTATTTTTTTTTCATATACAGGAAAGGGATAGAGTTGCCGAGCTGGGCGTTTTCCTTGAGAAAGCTTCAAACAGGCACTAACCAAAGCAGGTTGTCATGGTTGAGCCTTAGAACATGGTTCAGGTGTCTGATGGCAGGTATTTCAAAGGTGACCTGCAGATTCCTATTTGCAGGACAGAGTATCAACTGAACATTTATTAATAGCTTTAAGGTAGTAGCTTAATTTGTTACTATAGTTGATATGCTTACATGGGAGAGGAAGATCTGCGAAGAGCTGGTTTGAACTGGTTTTCTTATGTTATGAAAATGTATGGAATACCGGTGAGTTAGGATTGCATGAATCAAATTTTCCTCAGAATCCTTGGCTCTTGGGGATTACTGAACAGCAGAGAGCCCCAAGTCTCCCCTTGGAGCAAAATGAAACAATCCCACAACTAGTGCTTGATTTTTCCAGTAGCCTGGATTGTTGATCACTGGGAATTACTAGTCAAAGTTGGCCAGATGAGACACTGGAGACATATTTTGTGTTTTGTGGGTGCTTGTTTTTCCAGTGTAACAAGTAATTAGACAAACAGTCTGAATTATCTGCTTATCTTACTTTCGCTATATTCAATTTCCTTATCTCTTCCAACCTATGGTGGCAAAGATTATGGCTGCCATGAACAACATGTTATGTAAGTAGATGATTTGAATGTTACAAGACCATTAAAAGTGAAAGAAGAGAGGTAGAGACGATAGATAGTAGGAAAACAGAAAGGAAATGTGAAGTTTCTTACTTGTGGTGATAGGGATAAATCAGAAAAAAGGTAAATTCTGTATCAATTGACAAAAGCAGTCTGAAACTATTTATTTATCACTGTTATTCTTTCATGTACCTTGGTTAGCTAGTAATTTTTAAGACTTATGTTTCTGGTCTTCTTGTGTGCTTGAATTGTGCTGTTTGGCCCAGAACAAATAAAGCTGATGGCTGCAATGGGTGCCCTAAAATAACACTTCACTATTACTAATATTGTAAAAAGGAAATTACTACTGTAAATGGAGCATAACAAAATTAACAAAGTAAACCATGATTTGTCATGGGAAACAAAATATCTGTGGAGGTATATTTTAGGGTGAGAAGGAAATAGATTAAAAATTCCAGTGAAAGAAGAAAAGATGAAGAAAAAATCGTGAGTTCACCTTATAAACACTCTTCTCTGAAGCTAAACAGGAGACTGCTCAATGTTAGCTGACATCTCAGTTGATGGCATGCTGCAGTCAAGCCTACAGGTGGTCTAGTATTGAATGTATGAATACTTAGTTAAAAGCTGATGTAATTGTTGTTCTTATAGTTTCCTTTCAAAATTTGGAACTTGCATATTTCACTACTGTTTTCTTAGCAGACTCTGACATATTTGAATACATTTTGGTTTGAAATGATGAAGCTAATAAGTATACCTGGACAAAAATGGTATTAAAACAGGCGAGGAGTAGAAAAGAGGCTTAGTTTTGAAGAAAAGATTATGTACTTGACCAGCCTTTCTCCACTTCCCTAACTTCCTTTCTACTTGGGCCTTAATTGTAGAGACTTGTGACTTGCCTGTGTATATATTTTAGCACTACAGTGTTTTAGGAAAAATAAGTTAGTTATGTAATATGTATAATTTCTCACAATGAGAGTCTTCTTAGTGCAGTGTGAAAGCTATTGGACTGTGAGGCTTGAAACTAAGCCTGTAGGCACAGCTTGAGCACTAGCAGTAAGCAGATCTGTTCACTGTGTTTCATTTTCCCGTCTGCAAAATTGTATTGATGTTACTTGTAAAACATTTTATGGGCTGCAGGTAAGAAGTACTCTATGAGAGTGAAATAGCATTAATGATCTCAGTAGTGTCCGTTCTGTATTATCTTTGTACTGTATTGACACAGCGTTGCAACATTCTACTTTGTGCTGTTCTGTCAGCCTGTTTTCTCAGACATTGTGTCATTTCCCTCTGAAATGTCTTCAGGATATGAAAATCCCTTATCTTGCTCTTAAGACTGGGTTGTAACAATGGCACCCAGCAAAATAGCCTTAGTTTCCATGAAGGAGAAACCATCCTTTCCTTCCCATCCTCTCCAGCACACATATGTTTTATGGTAAATAATATGTCCAGTATCTCTTGGCTAGCATTATAAGGAGGAAGCAGAACCTCCTAGAGGGTGAAAAAGCAAGTTCTTCCCTTTTCTTGTGAGCTCACTGCCATGCACTGTTACTTTTTCTGGGAGAAACCGCAGTAATTTTTTGTATACCAGAGTTGTTTACAGATTCAGTTTTAGGAGGTTAATTCTAAAGAAATAAAAGCTAATTAAAGATTTATACAGATTAGTGGCCTTTTACATTTAGCTGTGCAATGTGTTCTGTGGTGTAAAAGATAACCAGTTGACTTTCTTGCTATTTCAGTTGCCTGTTGAGCTTCACTGGATATCTGTGACCTACTCTATTCACTCTGATACATGGCAGGGGAAGCCAGATTATTTTCTTTTTCTGTTTGTGTGCATTAACAATACGCCTACTTAAACTGCAGTTCCCCTCCCTGTTTTTGTGAAAGATCAGCTGGTCTGCTTTAGTTAAGCCACAGTAACTTGATTGTGCTATGGACAGCTCTGGATCCAATAGTACAGATAGCACTTTTGACAAGAGGGCAAAAATAGCTGTAGATTATTTTTAATCTGTGGCCATCAGTTACTCCAAGTTCTTTCCCTCTATGTAGTTTAGAGTTGGCTTTAGGGAAGGAGTAATTCGAGTGGACGAACTGTTTGGAGGGGAGTAAACAAGATGATCAGATCTTAGCCACTGCAAAATAGGTTTTTCTCTAACAACTTATATCCTGTTTTCCAAAGTGTTCTGATGATTTATAAACTCAAATTATGAAACATACAGATCATAATATTTTTAGTGTCAAGCATTCACAAAATAATTTGTTGTATGCCCAGAATACTGGCTTTAAACACCATAGGTGTTTTAAAAACTCACTGCAGTGAAGTGATGTTTTCACGATTTTCTTCCTTTAGCATGGGGAAACCTACTGACTGTGTTTCTTTTATATAATCTATATTTGAAAAATTAGATTATTTTTTTAAGCTAAGGGGTGGTGTTATATAAGTACTAGGAATGACAATAAAATTGCAAAATGTAATAAAAGAAGTAAAGCAAGATTTATTACATCTGTGCGCCAGCAATAGCAAGCTAGGAGGAGTTAATGAAAGGCTTTGTTACCTTCTCAGTTTGGCTAAGCTGCTAATAAGAAACTGGCTGTCATGAAATACTGCAGTTGAAATTGGAAAGGGGCAGTAGGTGAAGAAGCTGCCTAAGAGAGGGTTAGAGAAACTGTAAAAGGAACAATACTACAAGGAAGTTTACTATGTGAAAAGCAAGAAAGGAGGCTGAGGCTGATAGAGAATAAATGCTTTCTTCTCATTATATGTGTGTCCTGTGGTTGAAATTCTGAAAGGCATGTGAGCTAGCATTCATTACCTTACTGCAAGAAGAAATGTAAAAATGTCAAGATTTACTGAATCGTGGACTAATGAAGACTCAAGTCTAGATCTACTGCTCAAAGTCTGGATTAGCCTCCAGTTTGTACAGAGAGATGGGATTAATGATAATGAAAGCACAACAGGCTGTGACGACAACAGCAAGGTATCACAGGTGTTGATGAACCACTGCAATGTCATTTCCAGAAGATATTCAGAAGCCTTCTTTGGCCTTCTGTGTTCAACTGAGAGCTATTGTATGAGGCTGGAAGGCTCATGCAGAAGCAGAAGTGACTCTTTTCTAGTTTATGTAAAAATTATTACGGTAATCTTGCTTTCCTTCATCCTGTCTTAAATGACTTAGACTGTACTTTGATTAGTTGATGTCATACAGGTTGAAAACCTGCATAGCTGAGTCATAAGAAAAATCTCAGCACAATAGTAAGTTTGACTTTTGACAGAAAACTTAACTCAGTCTTTCTTATTGTAACTCCAATCTCTTTTCCATCCATCTAGGCCATGTGTTTATACGATGGGATCGCCAATAAACAACAGAGCCCTTTTCCCATGCCAGGAACCACCCGTTGCCTTGTCAACATGGCAAGCCTCAGTCCGAACAGCTGCAGGCTTTGTTGTGTTAATGAGTGGTGAAAATTCAGCAGAACCAATCCATCTTCAAGAAGGTGAAAGATATTTTCTGTACCGAAATATTTTCAATAATTTTATAATTAGAAATATATCTTAGTAAACATACAGTTTTTGAAGGAATGAAATTTCTAATCTTGAAAGCACTTGCATGTCTATCTGTAATCTCTGTGTTGTTCTGTGGAAAAGTTACTTGCTCAAGGCCTTGTGTTAACTTAGTAAGAATTCAAAGCATCTACGTTTCACTGTTAATTCTACTTACTTTGTTCTGTGGTTTTATTCATTTTACTTTCCCCACGCCTAATCATCACCTGTCATAAACTGGCTTTATTTTAATCATGCTACAGTTGAGCATTTCGTAGGTGAAGTACCTTACCAGGCTCTTGACAACTTCAGGCCTTGGTAGATAATTAACTTTCAGTGTTAGTTCTCCAGTCCAAATGTAACTCAACATGATGATGATAGAAGCAGTCACTGTGTCCTGTTTCCTGAAATATATAGAATAGATGAAGAATATCAGGTTGGTGCACTGAAAATCTGTTGGTTTGGTTTGGTTTTTTCTTGGCATTGGTAGATAATACCTGGTGCAATAATAAGCAAGCAAGCATTTTACTTCTCTGATTGTTATGCTTTATTCTCTAAACCTCTGTCTACACAGAGAAGGAAGTTTTTAAGGCAGTTTTACACATAATAATACAAAGTATGTCTTGCTACCATTAGTTTTGAGATAAGCTGTCAACAGGGTCAGTATTTTCTAGTGCAGGTATTTCTGATGAAAAGTAGCATATAGGAAAAGATTAGAATTAGGTGTTTCTGGAAAAAAAATAATCTTCTATTCCCCTTTAAAAGGGCAAATTTATTCTAGAGGGGAAAAAAAGAATGAAAAGTCTCCTTGATTTGAGAACCATCAGTTAATCCATTTGCATGGCATTGTCTGTTTATTTTTGGCCATATGTGAAGCCTGTTTCAAGCCTTGTCTCTGCTGTTGAAATGTGGAAAACTGCCATGATGAGATGCTCAGCTCACTTGGACAATAATAATTTACTGTCTCAGCATCAAGAAAGCAGGAGTGCTTTTGACTTCAGACTAGAACAGCTCTGCCATCGTTGTTTAATTTAATACACACTTATACATTGCTAATGAGTTGTTGCAAGTGGTGGCTATGTGGTCTAAAATAATAAGAGGAAGAATTATACTTATGTGAATTTCTAGAACTAGAAACCTTGGAAGAAATTTCAGGCAGTATAAATTGTCATAGGTCAGTTAAAATTAATACTTAGACCAATTAGCTACTTAAAGGCTGTATTGTGGAAGAATTATTTCCTCATTAACATTGTCTTCTCATTCTAGTTTAAAAACCCATTAAAAATTTATACTCAAATAGAGAACTAGTTGCGGGGAAAACCATTTAAAAAATGCTGTTGCTAGCGTTGAAAATTATATCAGGGTATCATATTTTAATGATGGTACTGGGACTTAGTCACCCAAAGTTAGACTTGTCACCCCATGGAGAACAGAAGGGGCTTTTGTTTGAATCCATGTAGTTGTTGCAGTGGGTCAGTTTATGTTGGTAATTCATGTTGTCAGCTTAAAGCTTTGTTTGTTTGGGGTTTGTTTTTTTGTTTGTTTTCTTTTTTTTTTTTTAATTTTACCAAAGGCTAACCCAGTATATTTCCTCTCCTAAGAACTCTGTGAAAGTAAGAAGTACTGCAAGAAGTCTTTAATGGAAAGGCCAGTAAGGAGGAAATTACTCATTTTAGCTTCACTGTGCTAATGAAGTGCTGAGTGAGGTGAACTGGGAAGAACCAAATGCAGCATTAAAGCTGGCTCCTTTAGGAACCATGTGACAGTGGCAAAGTTTTGTGCTGAACTTTACTGAAGAGAAGCGGCAGGGGCACCTACTGCATTTCTATCCTTACAGTTTTCCATCCACCTCTCCTCAAGATGCAATTCCCAAGAGTGTGGAAGGTTCTGCTTACAAATCTATGTGGCACACACTATTTATGCTAATTTTTACGTCATGATGCAAGAGTTGCTGGGTTTCTTTAACGGTAGTAGGCATTGTGCTCCAGTAGCTCTCAAAGACTCAGTCATGGATGGTGCTTATATACAGTTCGAAATGACATATCAGTGTTAGAGAGCTGTTTGGAATTGTAAAGTTTTGCAGAACAGATAGAGAAGAAAGAAGGGAAAAGTGCAATATTGTGACGAATGTTTTAAACAAATAAACCCAGGGCTTAAGTGCTAATCTGAAGCCTTGAATAAATTCTTAATTAATTTAGGAATAAAAATTCATTAATTAGTAGGATTTTTAAGAGTTCAAAAGTTCAAAATGGTCTTTAGTGTTAAATAACCTGTCCTGCATAGATCTTGTTGTTAGGCAGTTATGCAGGGCATGTGAAATCTATCCAACTTAAAATTTTGTCTTTACATTTATAAAACACACTTAAAACCTTTCAGGATAGCTTCAATTAAAATAAGTTTTCTTCACCAAATCATTTACATACAGAATGCTATTGCTGTGCTATTTATAAAAGTCAAACATAACTGGCGGAACACAAAAACACATTTTAAAAAATGCCATTTATTGGAAAGAATAAGCATTTTTGCAAGCATTTGTGAATTAATTTATTCTGAATAGAATTACAAGCTAGCTGAATATTTTTTCCCTTAAAAGTCATATTTGTAACAAGTGTACAGGCAGACATGCAAGCAGACAATAAGAGAAGAGGAAGCAAGGATGATACTTTAATGCTTTTAAACAGAGATCTGCATTCTGCTTCATAGATGTACATCTCCAGATGGACAGATGCTGTGATCCAGTGTATAGCTAGACTAGGTGCACTCATATGCACAGATTCCTCATTTGCCACTTGTATTTGTAGGTTTTGGTAACTGTACTTCATCACATATGTGCCATTTTTGTATTCTACCTCCTACAAAACTATGGCTCATCCTATTTGAAATAAAGTGAGGCCACATTTGTTTGAAAATCCCAATATGTCACTTATTCAAGTACAAATGGTAACTATTCAAGTATGACCTAAAAGTGCTTAAAAATACCGTGCATTCTTTATGGAGTACTTAGAGAAGAAAAATTTGTCAGAAAAATGCAATCGACAACGCCCTTTGGGAGAAAGCTTTAGAGGGATCACTATGTGTGTGTGTGTGTGTGTGTGTAATGTGAAACATTTAAATATTGAGTTTATTTTTCAGCTCTTTGCAGTTTTCCTTTCCTTTAGAATATTATTGTAACACATAGATAGTACAAATATATTTAGTCACAAACACCTTTACATTTTAATTCATGTTGAAGGAGTAGATATTCAACCAAGTAGTCAATTCAAGTGTGAAATGGACTAGCTTGCTTTTTGTATGGTTATGCTACCATTATGTAGTCCTTGATCTTGTTCTGACATCTCTGATTCCAGTGAGAAAGTATATTCTGTGACTGAGAGGAAATATGGTGCTAGAGAAGCTACTGCTACTGCTCTGTAGCTAGCAGCAACAACAGCTGCTTTGTTTGTCACTGTCCTGGGTTTGAGTGAGTGCTAGGGTTTTTTTTTTTAGGTAGTAGGGGAGGGGGCTACAGCAGTGGCCCCCTGTGAGAAGCTTCTTGAAGCTCCCTGTCTTCAAGTCAGCCCCACCTCTGCACCAAGGCTGAGCCAATCAGCTGAGCCTCTGTGATAACATATTTAAGAAGGGATCTTGTGAGGAGGAATAGTGGCAGCTGTGTGAACACCAAGGTCCTGTGGTGAGACATCAGGGCAGCCCCCCCTACCACCCATGCAGGTCTGTGGTAGAGCAAACACTGATTTATGGCTTGTGAGGGGACTCACATTGACGTCTAAGGTGACTGTACCCAAAGGAGGCTGGGATCTTGTGGAAGGAAGCAGTCCTTGCTGTTGTAGTTCAGCCCTGGGAGGATTGCAGCATGCGGGGGTGTCCCACGCCAGAGCAGCTCAGGAAGGACTGCAGCCTGTGGGGGGGACTCCAGTTGGAAAAAGTTGGTGACCTACACCAGAGCAGTGTAAGGAAATGCTGCGGCCCATGGGAGAGACTCATGTTGGAAAAAGTTGAAGGAGGACTGTCTCCTGTGAGAGGGGGACCACGATGGAGCAGCAGGAGAGGTTCTAGAAGCTCCCCCCACTGATGATGGAAGAAGTGGCAGCACTGACTGCACCCCCCATTCCCTGCCCCCTGCGCTGCTGGGGGGAGGAGGTAGAGATATTGGGAGCAGAACTGAGCCTGAGAAGAAGGGAGGGGTGGGGGGAAGGTTTCTCAAGATGTGGCAATGCTTCTCACTGTCCTACTCTGTTAAGCGTCGTTGTTAGTGTCTGTAATAAATCTGTGTTCTTTTTTGCTTCCCCTAACAAGTCTGCCTTTTGCCTGTGACCATAATGGGTGATTTATCAATCCCTGTCCTGTATTGAATCCCAACCCTGGCTTATTGCCCCCTTCTCATTGCTGGGGGGGAAAGGGCAAGTGAGTGGCTGTGTGGTGCTCAGTTGCCCTCTGAGCTCAAACCATGACAGTGCCCCTCTCACTTTTCACAAGGCAAAACAAGAGTCCAGTACTTGTGTAGATTGATCTCTAACATATATCAGGTGCATGGGAGTTGACAGCTCATCACATGCTACTCATCACTCTAAGCCAGTGTTGAACTAACACTCTGGCATGACTGTGAGGGTGCTCTGTCGGGAAGAATCTTTCAGATGAGATCAAAGATCTCCACAAGTTACAAAGAGATTCAGAAAGCTAGTGGGTTCTTAAACCTGGTGCTTCAGCCAAATAGTAATTTTGACGTAACTATTCATTTAGCTGTAGTTTTATGTATTATTGCTGGCTGTTTGTAAATCAAATGCTGTGTGGGGCCTATAGTAGCTGAGTATTGTGGGTTTTAGTAAATCACGGACATCATCTGTATTTTGTGGTGTTTATATTTGTGTTAGTGCAAACTATTTGAGAAAAATTATACTAAGTAAAAATACTCTTAATGTTCTTACATCTAGCATTAATAGATACTGACTCTCAGATGTTTCTTCAGTTATAATGGACTCCACAGGACTCAGATAATTTCAATGGTTTCAAAGATAGATAAATTCATTAAAAATTCTAGGAAATAATGACATAATTCATCATTATTTCAAGTAGAATAAATAAACAGTCTTTAAATTGTTCTGTTGCACAGTTGTAAATATGTTATAATTTCCTGCTCTTGTTAAATATATTCCTAAATTTTGCATGAGATGTTTTCAGTTAAACCTAATAGAGTAGAAACATAGAGTCATAGAATGGCTTGGGTTGGAAGGGACCTTAAAGATCATCTAGTTCCAACCCCACTGCCGTGGGCAGGGACACCTTTCACTAGATCAGGTTGCTCAAAGCCCCATCCAGCCTGGCCTTGAACACTTCCAGGGAGGAGGCAGCCACAACTTCTCTGTGCAACCTCTTCCAGTGTCTCAAAACCCTCACAGGAAAGAATTTCTTCCTTATATCTAACCTAAGGCTTCCCTCTTTCAGTTTAAAATCACTACCCCTCATCCTCTCACTACACTCCCTGATAAATATCCCTCACCATCTTTTCTGTAGCCCCCTTTAAGTACTGGTAGGCCACTACAAGGTCTCCCCAGTGCCTTCTCTTCTCCAGGCTGAACAACCCCAACTCTCCCAGCCTGTCCTTACAGGGTAGGTGGTCCAGCCCCCTGATCATCTTCATGGCACTCCTCTGGACCTGTTCAAACAGGTCTATGTCCTTCTTATGTTGGGGCTCCCAGATCTGGACCTTTTCAAACAGGTCTATGTCCTTCTTATGTTGGGGCTCCCAGATCTGGACGCAGTACTGCAGGTAAGGTCTTATGAGAGCGGAACACAAGGGGAGAATCACTTTCCTCGACCTGCTGGCCACTCTTCTCTTGATGCAGCCCAGTTGGCTTTCTGGGCTGCGAGTGCACATTGCTGGTTCATAGTCTGTTTTCCATCCACTGTTACCCCCAAGTCCTCCTCTGCAGGGCTGTTCTCCATCCAGTCCTCACCCAGCCTGTATTTGTGCTTGGGATTGCACCAACCCATGTGCAGGACCTTGTATTTGGCCTTGTTGAACTTCATGACCTTTGCACAGGCCCACTTCTCAGGCTGGTCAAGGTCCCTCTGGATAGTATCCCCCTCCCTCCAGCATGTTGACCACACAACAAAGCTTGGTGTCATTGGCAAACTAGCTGAGGGTGCACTCAATCCCACTGTCCATGTCCCTAACAAATACATTATACAGCACTGGCCCCATCACCCACCCCTGAGGGACACCAGTCATCACTGCTGTCCACTTGGACATTGAGCTGTTGACCGCAACTCTTCGACTGCGACCATGCAGCCAGTTCCAGCAAGTGGCCCATCTGTCAAATCCACGTCTCTCCAATTTAGAGACAAGGGTGTTGTACAGTCAGAAAATGCATGGAAGCCAGCGATAAAGCTGCTATTAACTTCAGTGTGTGCAGGCTTGGGCCTCTAGCACAGTTTATATCAATGAATCTCTACATCAGGTGTTTGGTATTTCAAAACAATAAGTTGTTGCTGTCCTGGGTAACCTCTTTCTCTCAAGGTGGTATTTGCTTGCCGTGGCTCATTTGTAGCCTTGGTAAGTTTATTAAAAAAAAAAAAAGTGAGGAGGAAGTTGGCAAAACAGTTATTCTCTTGGTTCCTACCATGTTTGGAGCAAGTAAGTTCATTCTGCTCGCATACTGACAGGAGGTTAGGAAAATTGCAGGAGTAGTATATTTATTCCTGACAATACAGACAAAATGTTTTTAATAGTAGTGGTGAATGTTGCAGAAGTGGATTGGAGTGAGGGAGTGTAAGTGGTTGCTTGTGCATGTAAGGGGCAGAAGCTTTATTTGCCTCTTAGAAGACTTCACAAACAGTATAGTTTTGTTATACTAAATAGTAGATGGAAAATTTGTTGATTTTTTTGCTTGTCCTTCATTTGGATAGCTTGACTTTCTGTGGTCATTAAGGTAGGAAACCCAGAGATGCTTTGCTGCAGTTTTTTCCTTTCTGTTATGTCTTGTGGCCTCTACTGGATTGTTTTGGTTTTTTTTTCATTTTAGCATTCCATAGCCCTGGTCAGAATACTATTGCAAAAGAACAACTGTTAATGTTCTCTTAAAATAACCAAAGTGTGTATGTTTCCACAGTTGCCACAGCTACAGTTATTTGCACATGATTCAGCAGGTTGTAATTCATGCTAGGATCCTTCCAAGAGTAATTGACCTATCAGTATGGTGTAGTAACTGTATTTGTGACCATAAATGAGTACATGAATGTGACCCTTAAGCTGTACCCTTTTTAAAGGGACAAACAAAAAACCTAAGCAACATTTAGATTAATTAAAAGTATGCTGTCCTAAAGCATCCTCCAGTTTATCCAAATGTGTTCAAAGTTACAGTCATCCTATACCATACTCCTTGTCTTCCAGCACTGTGTTCCCATAATGATAAGACTCACCATCTTTTTACCTTCCAATTGACTCTCTAACCTTGTTTTAGCAGCTCCTGGATTATCATGATCAAATCGTTGATTGAGGCACTAACTCATGTGGTTCTAAGCTTTGATTTCTCACTGCCTGGTTGGCGCATCATGTGTCTCAGATTGCCAGGTCCAATTCACAAGCACTAGTGTTGTTTGTTAGAACTTGCCTCTCAGCTTTGTACTGTCCAGTGAAATAATGCAGTTAAGACAGAACCATAAAGTGATTGGTCCAGGCTTAAAAGAGTTAGATTTTAATCTTTGTGTGTGTGTGTGTATGTGTGTGTCTGAAGGTGCTGTTAGATTTCACATCTAATGCAAATCTTGGGCAGTAACAGTACAATCATGTTAAGTTACATTAATAGGATCACACTTACAGGTGATTTAGATAGATAGATAAAGACATCAGCAGATAGAGGAATGGTGCAGGTGTAAGTAAACAGTACTGATTCCATAGTGGTTACATTTGACTGCTCTTACATGTCTGAGTGAAATTATTTTTTCTTTCCTCAACAAAAATACCGGGATATAAGGTGGGAGGTATGGACCAAAATCTCAGCTACATAAAAATGTCAAGTACTGAATGTGCGCTGTGACTGATGAGGCTGTACAAATGTTCTTTTCATTCACAGGTATCTTGAGCTGGTACTACTATGTGACTATGCCAATGCCAGCATCTACCTTCACTATTGCTGTAGGGTGCTGGCAGGAAGTTAAACAGCAGTCCTTCACAGCTGCTATCCAGGCAAACATTGAGTTTTCCTTGCCATCTTCACAAGCTGACTTCAGGTTTGTGTTTCAAATGCTGTTGAAAAATTATGTACACGGGTAGCATTTTAATTTACTTTGTGGAATGTGAAAATGAGTCATATTAGCACAGGAATCAAAATAGAACTTGTTTAATCTGAACAGAAAAATCTTGACAGGAAAATAATTCCAAAGGCATTATTTCATGGACAAGGGTGTGGTTCTTATGTGAAAACAAGCTGCTTAGTGAGCAATAGGGTTAATAAACCCCAGTGTCCTCTGGATTTGCATCTAATGTTCTGTGTCTCTTAATGCCCTGCCACATCAATACCATGTCTTTCCTTGTTTCTTACAGTGCCTACCTAGAAGATGTTTCATGTCACTAGACTTGGTCCATTTTGGATACCTAATGCCCCCTTCTACAGTATTGCTTACTCACTCATTTTTTTTCTTCCTGTCCAGTCCCATCGCAGAGATAGAGCTGGCCCATCCAGTGGTTTGTATGGAGTGATGTGTACTGACTGGGTACATGAAAGATCTGTTGTAGAGGTCCAATAAAATAAAGTTGCACCAATGATTCTTTTCAATAAAAAAATACCCTGTTGCGTAGTACTTGCAGTGGCTACTTACCTGACTTTCACCAAACCCACAGAAATGTAATTATTTTGGATATTTCGATATGACACTTGATTTCCTTGCATATTACTCTCAGCCTTTCAAATTCACAGAGTCACAGAATCACAGAACAGCCCAGGTTGGAAGGACCTTGAAAGATTGTCCGATCCAATCTTTCATGGGGAGGGGAGCTTAGATGAGGTTATCTAGCACACACTGCCCCTTGTCTTCTCCATGTGGATCCTTGTGAAGAGAGAGTCTCTGTGCCCTTTGTAGATACCCTTTAAGTACTGGAACACTGTGAAGAGGTCCCCCTGAGCCTTGCATTCTCTTCTTGCATTCTCTTCTTGCATTCAGAAAGGCCTGTCTCCTTCAGTTTTTCCTCATGGGGCAGGTTCTCCAGATCTTTGATCATATTCGAGGCCCTCTGTCAGGCCTTCTTCAGTTTGTCTGAGTCTTTCTTTAATTGTGTGGACCAGAACTGGTCATAGTTACTCCAGGTGCAGTCCGACAAGCACTGAGCAGAGCGGGATGTTCATGTCTCCATCTCTGCTAGTAATGCTTCTGTGGATGCAGCCCAGGATCCAATCTGCCTTCTTTGCTGCAGTGGTGCACTGATGACTCATGTTCAACTGCCTGTCCCCCAGGAATCCTGGGTCCCTTTCAGCAAGTCTGCTGCCCAGACACACAGATCCTGGCCTCTGCTGAGCTCTTTGGCTATGTCATCCCAAATTCAGGACTTTGCACTTGTCTGCGTGGAACTCCACACTGTTCTTGCCAGCCCACTCTTCCAGCCTGTCTGGGTCTTTCTGTAAGATGGCTCTCCCTTCCAACATGTTCACCTCACCATCATCTCACCATCAGCAAACCTGGTGAGGAAGCTTTCAATCCCATCATCCAGGACATTTGTGAAGGTGTTGAATGGTGTGGGGCCCAGCATCAATCCCTGGGGGACTCGTGACAGGCTGCCAACCTAAGTAAAAACAGTTGATCACCATTCTCTGAGAGTGGCCTGTGAGTCAATTTCCCACCCATCTCTCAAACCATCCATCCAGTCTGTATCTTGCCAGTTTGTCCAGGAGAAGGCTGTGGGAAACTGTGATGAATGTTCTGCTGAAGTCCAAGCAAATAATATCCACTGCTTTTCCCATGTCAAGAAAAAATGTTGTTTAGTTGTAGGAGGAGATCAAGTTAGTCAGGCTGTAAGTATTTTTTCTGTTATGCAATTAGAAACTTAGCCAAAACAATACTTGCATTTTAGACAGCTGTTTTGGGCTAATAGTGTGTTAATATTAAGACAGTGGAAGTCCTTACCATTTTGGTAAAGCTAGTGAGACTTCAGGACTTGAGGACCTAATAGAGATTTCATATTGGAATTTAAAATGAAAGGATTCCAATGGCTTGCAGCTTCACTAATTTTCGTTTAAAAAATTTCTAATAAATCTTGAGAATAGGATTTTTTTTTATTTACCTAAGATCAGTAAGACATGCCTATTTAATCTTTAAAATAGTTTATAGGTTTGATAAGCTTCTAGAAATTGTTTCGTGTTTATTCCTCTACTAATTACCTGTTTATAATATGACTGCCTCTACAGAAATATGCTCTAGGTGTTCACTATTTATTCCTCTCTAATGTACGGCATGTTCAGTAACTGGAGTTTTTATTGATTTGGTGCAAAAGATTATTCTGACAGAGTGTTGATAGAATAAATGAAAGTTTCCATTTTTTGTAAAAGTTCTGAAAAAATGGAAATATTTTTTTAGCAAAAAATAGTTAAGTTTTAATCAGTGGGATGGTCATTGCATGAGTTAATTTGCACAGGCAGTGTGTTGTATCTGCAGCAGTTTAGTGACAGTGGAAGAAACAGAACTAATAAGTGAATTTCATAAAAAAAAATAACAAAAAAAAAAAAAAAAGAAAAAATCCTCTTCAAGTGTGGTGTCTCTTAAGCATAGACAGGAGAGCTTAAGTGTACAAGTTTATTTTGCAGTTACTTATGACATAAAAATCCATGTCTTTAAAAATTTGCTCTTGCAGTTATATCCAGTTAATCTTTGTGAATTTGCACAAGAGAAGCTTGTTACATATTTTAGTCATTAAGACTAGGTAACCAAGCCAGTGTTAATGCACAGTAGCAGGCATTTCTAGAAAGGGTGTGAAATGGATAGACAAACATGTTAAAGTAGTGTCTCAGGTAAAATAGTGGCGATAAATTCCTGGGCAGCAGGAAAAAGAAGGCTTTCTGAAAGAAGTTGTTGATACGTGTGATGTAATTTATGTCCAGGTGCCAGTGAGTTTGACATAAGGAGACTGTAGCAAATAAAATGTTAAATGGAACTAGGGTGTTAAATAGATCTATTTCCTTTTGGTCATTAAGCATTTGGCAACTTTTACAAGAGATAGAGTATGAGCTGTCATGTTCTTGCCTAATCTCAACTCTGGTAATTAAATACAAAGTGACATTGCTTTAGAGCAGAAATATACTGGGTTAGACAACCCTTGGAAAAAAATTGTATCATCATGGATGTAGTTTCTTTGCATATGTAATCAATGGAATAGCTTAGAGTCCACTTCTTTCACAGAGAGAGTTATGTAAGGTGTTAAAGTGTTGGCACTTCCACAAAATGTAGTCCTTTTCTAGGTGTTACCGTTTTGTTTTCTTTCTCAGCACTCACCTGAAGCATGATCTTTCAAATATACATGCTTTGGGTGATGCGAGGTGCAAATAAGTGCTTTGCCTGTCCAGGCAGAGGAGAACCAGCTTCCTTAAGTTGAACTCGCAAACCAAGGAGAGGCTCTGCGCTGTACAGAAGACAGACTAGCAGGTGAAAACATGAAGCTGATTTCTGCTTAGATACGAGTCTATTTGGGCAGATAAATTATTGTGAAAAGGTATATGACTCAATGGTTAGGAAGGATTTGCTTTACCCCTCCTTCCTCCCAGCTATAGCTCTGAATATCCTGGAAAAGTAATGTCAATTAATCTTGATCCTAAGGTGATATTTTCAAATGTCTACAGTGATAAATCTGAATTGATATCTACTGTTGTTTTTCAGTAATGAAAAAAAAAAAAAAAGAAATCTGAAAAATCTGTAAAAGTTCTGGAGAATTTTAGTAAAAACAACAGAAGAAAGCCCCCTTGCAATTTCATGCTAATTGCACTTAATATGTGTGTGTGTTAATATGTATGAAATTTTATTTTTGTAGTGAAGTTTGTATAGGAATTCTGAATAAATAAGTATTCTTGTATTGTTACTTAGTTTTCTTTATGTACATTTTGAGTACTTGTTCATTTGATCCGTATCTATTATAAAACCAAGGTTTGGATAGTCTGTTTTTTTTCAGTTATGAGTAACTTTATGAGTTATACTCGGACATATGAGTGTCTTCACTTTGCTACACATGTGTTAACAGTGTGAGAATACAAATGAGTTGGTTTTATGTGGACTAACTGCCATTCTGATATCCAGAGAATATCCTCATCTTGGCATACTATGTTGTGCATATTTCTGGTATCACATTAAACTATGTTTTTCTCTCTTTTTTTTTTTTCAGATGGCATGAAGAAATCTGTGGTCATGTGGAATATCCATGCCGTTTCCAAAATCCTGATGCCAGGTTGCAGGCAGTCATTCCTTACAGAGTCTTTGCTCCCTGGTGCCTTATGGAACGCTGTGAAGAACATTTGCTTCAGCTAATTCCTCAGTGTCTCTCAGCTGCTTACACCACACTGGGTACCCACCCCTTTTCCAGGCTTGATGTTTTGATAGTTCCTTCCAACTTTTCCAGCCTGGGAATGGCCAGGTAAACAAACTTCTCAGTGTCTCATCACCTGTATTTTGTTAGACTCCTTTTTATCAGCTGGTTAACAGTGCCAAATTGTTATCAATATAAAGTTGCTCTGCTATTTTCCTTAACCCAAACTTAAATCTCTAGTTGTGGCTTCATGTGGGTAGATTTGTTTGTATCCTTTGTGCTATGATCTTTAATTTTAGTTTTACAGAGCTCAGAGAAGGAAAATACAAGCTCATTAGACATGTGTGTCTGAATTTTCTCATTTGCCAAACTTAAGTTCTTTTATTGGTTCTATTCATTTAAATACTTGATGCTGCTATCATTTTGTCATGTTTTCTTTTGGCATTGATTTTACCATTATGTCTTGACAGAACAAAAGCATGTTAAAATCCAGATCTAGAGTTTATTCATAAGACTTTTGTGATTTATGAATTTCTAGTCAAACATTGGTCTTTGGAAGCTGAATAAGGCAAACTGTAAGGATTATATCATCAAGTTTTTATGGAATTGTAGAGAATAAAAACTTAATTAAATATTTTTGTTTTTTACAGTATAATTTCCGGTTGTGCAATGACAATAGAATTTTAGCTCTATCAGCTGTAAGGCAATGACTAGCAATTGAAATTCCCCATCAGCTTTTAATTTTTCTTTAAAATACATATATTTTTAAGTTAGTAATAAGATAGTGTTTGTTAATAGCAGAAAATGAAACCCTGTTTTTATTTACTGTTTGCCTAGTGCCAACAGTAGAATGAATTCATTTAGGCAGATGGACAAAACATCCAAGGGAAGAATTAAAGGCAAAGGTCTGTTAGAAGGATGAGGACTGAAAGGGAAGGTGTATTCCCAGACTGTTGGTTTTGTATTTTGGAGCTCTTGGGGTAGTTGTCGAGTAGGTTTGATATCTGAAGCAACTTCAACAAACTGCACAAATTGCCAGTCCAAGTGCTTAGATGAACCAGAAGTTTATTTCTTTTTACAAACTGTATAATTAATCAAATAAGGAACCATTTTGTTTCATGCTACATGTTTAGTTTCTTATTTACGTATATATTTTTCTACAGCTTTCCTCTTGCAATCCTCCTTAGGGATAAAAGTATAAAATTATGCTGGCTTGTAATAATATTCTATAGTTTTTACTATAAGTTTACTTTCTTTTGTTTTTATAAAGATCTATAAAATTAAAAAGTCAAGCATTCAGCTATCCTTCTCTGTCATATAAGCCTTGTTGCTTAGTAGATATATTGTACTGGCTATTGAGTTTTCAATGATAGCTCTCCGCTCAGTGAACTCCTAAATGGAAGCATCAAGGAATTTACACAAGCCCTGGCTGCTTTGGGCACCTACCACAGACTATTCTCTGATGGTTTGCATAGTGGTTTAATTTGGAGGTAAGTGTGATGTTGTGTACCATGTTCTTGAAGCCATATGAAATTGGTAGAGCTGCTTAGCAATTTCCTCTGACTTCAGAGGCACAGTACTGAAAGGTTGACACAGGTCCTTATGGATCATTACTGTAATTGAGGAAGAAACTGGCCATTTTACTTAGCTGTGTGATAAGAGCAGTGATCAGTAGAACCATGAAGAGCAAGATGCACACAAAATTAAAGAGAAAGGGGAGAGATATATCTAGGCCAAAATGACATCACACAGTAGGAGAGATCTTCAAGATTCAGTTGTTCATATGCTACTGCTCTTTGGGAAGTTGTCAGAGCTTCTCCTCAATGTACCTTTCCCAGAATTTATAGGGAAAAGATGCCTGCAGGGTGTTCTGTTACAAAACCATCTGTGTTTATCTGAGTCCAGACTGCAAGTTTAGAATATTGTAATTGTGCTTTCTTTGTGAAGGAGATGGGAAAAACCTATGCTTTTATTTCCCTGTGTTTCTAGCCACTTTCAGTTCCAAGTGATCCGTATCATTGGACGTAAGTAACAGATGAAAGAAAGGGCATGCATACTTCCTGATGCTTTTTCATTCAACATTTCATCAAGCCAAGCACATTGAAATTTTTCAAAATTGAAATAAAGGAATAATTTAAGCTGTTTAAATGTCAAGCTGTATTTGGACAGCAAAGGCAATTATTAAGTGACTCATAATAGCTCGTTTGTTCTTGTTTTGTGTGATTTTTCAAATAGAGGCTTCTATGTATATAGCAAGCTACTTAAATGGTTAATTCCTATGCATGCAATGATAATACCTAAATTACTTCAGTTAAGAATAAGCTATGTGCAAAACCATGTCCAAACCCACATTAAAAAAAAAGTTAGCTATTATCTTGAGTTAAAAAGGGTGCTGTAGTATTTATATTTTATCTTCTAGCCTATCTGTAGCAGTATAAACATAACACAGCATGCCAGCACAAAGGGGCTGTTGTTTTGAGAATTCTAATTGTACTCCTGTGTGCCAGGGAAGGAAGCAGTCATAAATTTCAGTCATTATCTGAAGTATCAGGGCTTTACAGCATTTGGCACGTTTCTTTGTCTGTTCCTCATTAGCCAATACTTACTGTGTTTTTTATATCCCAAAATACTTCCCTTTACTTAAGGGGGATGTTTCCCCAACATTTTAGACCTGTATGAAATGATGATAGTTCTTGCATAGCGTGACCTAATTAGGCATTTTAAGCTGTCTATTCTAGTAGCCGCTACTGTGGGTCAGCTCCACTTCTCTGAAAATCTGACAGATGCTTTATGAGAAAAAACCTCTAGTTGAAAGTATATTCATTTAACTTGTGTTTTCTGTACATCCCTTCTTGTGTTTTTTAATTCGTTATGGACTTCTGTATGGAAACAGGGCCTTGACTTTATATAATAATTGCAATCATCCCCTTTTTCTTCCTGCAGATCTTTGAAGCTGGAGTATTTAATTTTGCACTCTCTCTTCATTTTACAGTATTTTAATTCCAAGTGATTCAGTATAGATTCTCCCAAATTTATGCCTATACAAGAAGAACTCGGCTTACATGTCTTTGCTGGTGATGTTATATTAAACTGTGCATAAATTAAATGAATAAAGCATTGTGGACCAAATGTAAATAGTTTACAAGCCAGAAATTCAGTGCTTTCTGTAGAATTTTGAGAGTTTCATGAACACCTAAAAGCACTTAATTATCTGACTTTAAGTTCTCTCACTAGCAGAAGGGAAAGGAGCAGAGAGGGAACAGAGTAGGGAAATGTGACAGACTGTGAAGACTCTAGAGCTCCTAATTAGATTGTTCAGGGAAGAAATCCCTGACCTCACGCTACTCTGAACGGTGCACATCATTCATGTGCTCAGAGAGCTAAGCGGAAAAAAGCAGGAGATGAAATTAGCACCATGTTTTGGTGCTGTTGATGATGATGTGCTACTCCTTGAGGAATTGTCAACCCCACTGGCATTTAAGTAGCAGTTATTTCACAGTTGCAGATGTTCTCATATGAGCCACTAGTTACCCAAGCAAAGCTGGCTGAAAGACCTCAAATAAAAACATAGGGTTTGTGTATGTTCCCTGGTTGCTCATGCTCTTCAAATTAGTTAATTTCGAGACCAGTTTTGTTGATCATATTTGAAAACCTAGTGTTTCAAAATCTCTTCCCACTCACCTACAACTCAATTTCCTTTCCTTTTGGCAAAACCTGGATAGGCTCTGAATTCCTTGTTCTTTTCCATTCCCTGAGGAAAAGCATTCTTTCGAATACAGAGACTTTTAATTGTTTATGTCACCTGAGCCTGTGCTTGAGACCTTAATTTCTCTTCTTTTCTTGCAGTGTTTAATTGCATAAGTCCTCTTTTTTTTTTTTCTTTCTACTTTCCCCATGGAAGTAATTTTTTCCTTGATAACCATTGAGCACCTTTCATAGCCACACCAATCTCGTGTTTCTGTGGCTTTAGAAACTGCTTACCAACTTCTCCACAGCAAATATGCTGATATTTATTTTACTCTCCTGGGGGTTGTAAGCCTTTGTTTCCATTGAGTTGAGGTACTTTTTTTAAAACAATGGTCTTCAAAGCTTTTTGTTTCCAGCATGCATAGTTTAAATAACTAAGAAAGATTACTTCTTACTTCTTTTTCTGTTTGAATTAATGTACTTTAGATGTACTAGTGTTGTAGTAAGTGCCAGCACAAGGAAAAATTCTTTGCCGAGCACTATATGTCAATAACTTGACTAGTCATACCAAATGGTGCTGGGAGCTGGAAGAATATGATGAGAAAAGTGTCCCTTGGAATGTACCATGCTCTTAGTTTTTCCTTGAACACCCTATACTAGTAACTGCTGAAAATGGAATAACGGGATAGATGGACCTCTGATCTTACCTAGTTTGGCTGTTCTTACAGCAATTTTACCCAGCAGAACTAGCAAGTAAGTGGAACGGAAGAACTTCTGAGCAAGACACTGACATTTCCAAAACAGGATCTCTATGTTAGGTTATTTGAATACTATTTAGGCTCTAAAACTAGTGGCCTCGTTTTTAAGTATGCTGGACACCCTTGAAACCCAAATGGTGTTTGATGACAGAAACACAGAGGATGCTTGGCATATTTGTAAATCAGGTCAATTCATATAGCTGTCTAAATATGGATTTAGCAACCCAGCTTTCAATTCCTATTTATAAAGATCTTATTCACTCTTCTCTCATGTAAATGGTCTTTGGTATTTTAAGAGAAAAGAACATCCCTTTCTTCAAAACATGGTATATCAGCAGAACTCTTGAGTCTTTCCAGGCCATGTCACTAAGGTTGTTAACTTTTTAAATTAAAAAGGGAGAAGCGAAGAGAAGAGAAGAGAGAAACAAACAAAAAGAAGGAGGGAAGGGGCAGGGGCAGGAGCCCAATCAGTCTCTTTGGTTTGTGCATCTTTAGTATTCCGATGACAACTGATAAGTCTATAGTAAAATCAGCCAGGACTATTGGAAAACATCCAAGTGCCAAACCTAAATGTCAGTCTTTAGTATTGTTCATCTTGCAGAACTGTGATTGACTGTTTGCCTCAACTGTAGAAGCCTTTTGTGAGTGTACACGTTTGTATAA